GAGTGAGTTCCAGGACAGCCAGGCCTACACAGAGAAACTCTATCTCAAAAAAACAAAACAAAAAGAAAATCTAGGTGCTAGGACATTAATAAAACATGAGGGGAAACACATGATAGCCTCAAATAACACAAAAAGGCATTTGACAACATGAGAAAAATGTTCCCTATGAGAGAAATGTTCAGAAGACTTACACAATATGACATACTTTCCCTGAGGAAAAATGTTCAGAAAGCATGAAGAAAATTTACACAATATGAGAAAGGACATCTGCACAGAGTCCATAGCTAGCACCGTACTCAGTGGTAAAGAGCGGAACATTTCTGTCAAAGGTCAAGAATGAGACAAGGACTCCTGCTTTCACTGCTGCTGTTCTGTCTCATATTAGATGTCTCAGCCAGAGAAACCAGATTAAAAAATAAATAAATAAGAGGAGTTCAAGTTGGAAAAAAAGAAGTAAAATTGTGTTCAGAAATCATATGATCTTATTTCTAGGGAAGCCCCAAATCAATAGGAACCCATTAGGCCGCAGAACTATCAAGCTAGTTTGTCAGAGTTGCAAGCCAGAGGCTCAACACGCAAAAATCAGTTGCCTTTTTAGCCACCTGTGTTGTAACCTGCTTAAATTCTATAGCCCCTCTGTTGAGACCTACTTTATTTCTTAGCATCCATAACTATGGCTCCTCTGTTAATACCCGCTGTAGCCTTTAGCGTATTAGAAGCCATTTTGCCTCTAAGTATGTCTCTATGGTTTCACTTCTCAAACTTTGTATATTTTGTTACCTGGACCCTCTATGAAGTCCCCCAACTGCAGAACCAATTAAATTAAAGGTCAGTTAGAAACCCTTTGTCTAGCTAGTCAAAATGAAGTAATATTGCTTCCTGCACCTGGCTACCTGGTTGTGTTTTTGTTACCTGGCAGTTATCTGGTTTTGGTTTGTTTCTTGCACCTGGTTACAGTTTTGTTATCTAGTTGTTACCTGGTTACAGTTTTTGTCTTTTTGTTTTTGTTTTGTATAAAAAAAAAATCTGTTTTAGGAGCAGACTAATGTCATAGTCTGGCTCCAAGTCCAGATTATGGCCCTGGCTGGTCAGTTTCTGTTTAGTGTTCAATAAACATCTGTTGAGCTCAGTCTGGTGTCAAGAGTGGTGAGTGAGTGGCTATTCCTGAACCCGTAACACCGTCAATGACCAATCCAAAAATGTGTCATCTTCCCACTGCTGTGCTAATTATCCCAAAGCAAAGCACAGAGGGACTATTCCTTTTAACATCCAGCAGCTCTTAGTGCCACTGAGGTTCACATTAAAGGTGGTTAGAATGGTAAATACCACCATATATATATATATATATATATGAGTGTGGGTTTGTACACACCTCTGGGAGTGAGTGCTTGAAGGTCAGAGGACAACCCTGGATGTCCATCCTCACTTCCCACCATGTTTGAGACAGGCCATCTCTTATTCAACACTGTGTACACTAAACTAGCTGGCCTGGAAGCTTCTGGTGGTTATTCAGGCTCCACTTCCTACTTCCCAGGAGGGGCTCATCAGGATGACTGATACTTGAGCTATTATTGTCATTGCCCAGCTATGACTTGGTTTTGGGGACCGAACAACTTCTCAGACTTATCTAGCCATCACCTTATCCCTTGAGCCATCTCCCTGGCTCACAATAAAATAATTTCTAAGGGAAATGCATAGGATCCATTATGCAGGCCATTAAACGAAAGAGACAAAGTGATGGGAAAGGAAGGGACAGTGTGATACCAGACACTGTCTGCGAAGAATACAAGAATGAGAAGGGCCAGAAAGGACGGGAGAGATCCAAATAAACTCAGTCTGACTTATCAAGAGGCTGTGCTGGTTTTATCAGACTTGTGTGTGGTCCTGCAGAAGTCTGGGTAAGGATATTCAATATGTAGTCATTAAATGCAGCCATGCACCACTCCACGACCTCATGGTCAATAATCTACCATAATTAGGATAACTAAGCCTATAAGGTTAAGTCTAGTAACACCATGTCTGTTTTAGTTTATGGAAGGACACTCTATGGTCCTCATAGAAGACTAATAACACACATTTCAGACCAAGCAATCTGTGATATACGGATGTTCTCATTACATATACTGACCATATATGTATATGATACACAGAGGCAGTTTTTCAAGCCATTTGTCTTAGTCTCTCTCTCTTGGTTTTTGAGGCAGGGTTTCTTGGTGTAGTCTTGGCTGCCCTGGAACTCACTTTGTAGACCAGGCTGGCCTTAAACTCAGAGATCAGCCTGCCTCTGCCTCCCAGAGTGCAGGGATTACAGGTGTGCACCACTATTCCCAGCTGCCTATTTGATTTTATTTTTAAAGAATTATTTATTTGTTACATATACAATGTTCTGCCTGCATGCCAGAAGAGGGCACCAGATCCCATTATAGATGATTATGAGCCACCATGTGATTGCTGGGAATTGAACTCAGGACTTTTGGAAGAGCAGCCAGTGCTCTTAATTTCTGAGCGGTCTCTCCAGCCCTGCCTATTTGATTTTTAACTTTTTTTTCCCCAAAACAGAAAAATGTCCTTCCTTACTGTGTATAACTCTGCTATCTCAGCCATGCATATTGGTGTACACCTTTAATCCCAGCACCCTGGGAGACAGAGGCAAGTGGATCACTGTGAGTTGGAGGCCAGCCTGGTCTACAAAGTAAGTCCAGGACAGCCAGGGCTACACAGAAAAACCATGTCCAAATAATAATAATAATAATAATAATAATAATAATAATAATAATAATAATAAT